ATATGATATTGGTTACACAAAGTTGATCTACAATCTATTTTATATGAATTTGGAAATAGTTACACCCTACCCTTAAACCTTGCAAATTAATTAAACCCAATTGACAATATTGTTAATTTAAAATATCTCTAATACTGTAATTTTATCTTGAATCAAAAACATATAATAATTGCTAAGAAATTAAACTACTGATTACTATAGCTATCAAGATTTTGTTATTTATAAGTATTATCAGGAAACTTTTTTAGTACTGTTTTGTGCAGATATGCAAAAAAATTAAATAATAAATTAAATAAAAATCTGTATAAAACTTCAGACTCACCAGCTATAGCTACAGAAATTAAATAACAGTTTTGTATAAAATTTTAAAATATAAGAAATTTTGTAGTTTTTTGCAAAAAAATTTGCAAAAATCTGTATTTTCGCAAGTTTTTGTAGATTTGCATTTATTTAATTCTTCTGATAATAAGTATTAATACTTTTAAATATAACAAAAGGCAAACTACAAGTTTAAACAAGAAGAAAACTTATCTGATCTCTAGCAACATTATAACAAAGATCTAAAAACTTTGTATTTTAGACCAAGTCTTTTTATACCTTTTTTCAGCCTTCTGCCTCAAGGTTTTAGGTGTTTTGAAACCAAAAATTAGATTATTTAATAGTTTAGCCTAGTGGTTTAAAAAAAAACATATTAGAAACTCTTCTTGATAATCACTTGTACCAAATTTTTCCACTAGAAATTTTTCCAACTGTCTTAAATATAAACATAAATATTTTTATTAAGTGTAATAGAAAGAAGGCTACAAGGTTCTGTAAGATGGTATTTATTATTTAGAGGTAGTTCTCATACACTACCTGCTGATAAACTTAGAGTTTATTACTTATTGCTGGGCAGCACCTGTTGTTTAGAAGTAGCTCTCATACACTACTTGCTGACTTGTTTAAAGTTTATCATTTACTAAGCCTAATGCCTGGCCTTGCTCAAAGTTTTAAATTGTTTAGAACTTATTTAATTTTTATAGAAGAAGATATATACTTTCTCTTAATGGCTACCTCTTTCCAAAATTTTTTTTCATAAAAAGTAGGCGATTTGGCTTACCCCTAACAAATAATTAGCTTTGTTTACCAATTCCATTTTGGGATACTACAACTATGTGTTTTGTATATACGTATATATATTTATATGATACCCCACATCATATCTTTGGATAGTTTACATGTAATGGAATAAAGAGACAGAATCAAGAAATGTTTGATCTGAATTTTGAGGAGTTATATAAATTTTAGAGATATATCACTGTTATAGAAAATATAATATTTTTTTTAGCTTTATACAGGTTATAATAGTATACTTTCTTTTCTCTTCTTTATATATATATCATGATTATGACTTTTTTTTTTTGTTTTTTATATCTTCTTTTATATTTTATCTTTTGTTAGTGTGCTTATTCTCTTTTTTTTTTTTACCTTTTTATACTTATTCTCATTTTTACACTTTCTTTTACTTTGTTTTTTTATTGTGGTTAGATTATATGTAAGTCTTTTTGCCAAGATCTAGGTAGAAAAAATTTAAAGAAAAGAGGTAGTCATGATGAGCTAGTAGAACCAAGTTAGGGATATTCTTGGAGAGACCATAAGAAACAATCAAGTATTAAAATGAATTCTACTCTGGCAGGTTGCAAATAGATGAAATAGGTATCTACAGTAACCAGATAAGTTATATTTTTATTTACAGATACTTAGTATTGAATGTAGTATAGCATTTACATATGTTATTATTAGTCTTTTTAATAAAATATAGTATGACTGCTTGTTTTTTAAAAAAAAAAACTTAGTAGTTTGAAGTAATTTTTATTTAAAAATATTCGTATTTACTTTCTTACTAAACTAAATTTAAATCTTAGAGTCCTATATGCAGTTGTTAAAGCTTTTTAAATTTATAGTATATTAAAAGACTTTTTTGATAATAAAGTAAATATCTACTAAATATCTTAAAGGTATTTGTTAAATATCTCAAAAAAATTTGCTATATATTTTAAAAAGAATAATTGTATGCTTAGCATTCTGTAATACTTTAATTTATCGCATCTTTAAAATAAATATAAACTAGTATGCGATGCATATCAATGCATTGCACCTTACACATATATGATCGAAACTACAAGACTAGAGTGATATTTAATCATATAATCACGGCCACGATATGAAATCTTCATTGCCGCTAGTAAATTATATTATTATGTTTTATCGCATGCTAAACAAGTATAAAGTCAAATTTGAGTCACTTATTTCTGATGTCTTTTTGTCATATTTATATCTTATTTCATGTTGCTTTCTTCACATCTATTTTTATTATATTTTTTGTCATCTTTACTTTGGGTTGCTTTTCAAATTTCATCTTCACTATATCTAATTTTCTTGGTCCAATTTTATTGTCATCTTCAGATCTGATTTTCTCATTGATTTTATCTTATTATAACAAACCACTTAGTAATAAACATGAAACCAGATTGGTATGAACTAAACATGCTCCATTTTTTAAATAATTATCCAGAAGACATGTTAGATATGGAACAATACATTTTTTTTGATGATAATACTAAATTGCTTATAGCTAACAATACCTCTGGCTTATTTTATAATCAAAGTGATGATATCCGGAAATACAATGAAAAGCAAAATGAAAGCCTTGAATATAAACAAACCTGATGCATCAAATATAAGTGAATCTGCTATTTCAATTATGGACAAATCTGATAATTCAAATAGCCAAGATGAAGATGAACTGACTGACAAGCTTGATGCTAATCTTGAAGAATATAATAATGAAGTTTTAGATAGCACAAATAATATTGAAACAATTTCAGAAGATATTTGTATGGATGTTACATTTGGTTCTAGATGTTGAAACATTCTTTGAGGAGTATGGGAGATGAAACAGCTTTACTGTAATTAAGTATCACTTAGAAAGAAATAAAGTGGGAATGATTCATAAATAAATTTTTATTTGTAAGTTTGACAGAAAATATAAGCCTTATAAGAATTAGAAGAGTAAACAAAAAAATACAAAAACAAAGAAGATTAAATGTAAAGTGTACGTCGATCATTTATCATATGACTTTTGTGGTACAATGAGATTTTATGTATAAAATTACAATATGCTACTAATAAAAGTTTTCGAAATTACTGTTAATTTTTACTAAAATTGAGTAATATACAGAT